GGATTAGCGCTTTCATATGTATCAAGAAGCTGTTCCATATTTTTAGGAGGAACTGGTGGAGGTATCTTTTTAGTTTGCTGGGCCATTTGTGATTGGAAATCGGCTTTTTGTTTTTCTAATAAAGACTGGTATTCAGTTTTTTGCTGTGCTAATGCATTCTGGATTGCTTTTTGCATATCTTCTAAAGATATTCCATGCTGTTGTTAGGCTGAAACAGGTGAATGTTCATATATTTGCCGAGATGTTCGATTAGATACTAGCGGATCAGATATTCTATCTCTTTTATGTCTAGCTATTCGGCGTAATTCTATCTCATAAAGCTTTTTAGCTAATTCATCTAATGGCAAATGTTCACCAATATCTTCAGCTTTTTCAAGCCATAAAAGTGGTAAAGCATCTAAGAACTTTCTACGTAATTCTTTAGGTCTATAGTTTGCTTGTCTACCTATTCGTAATATTTTTCTATATAATTCATCTATAGTCATGTCTCCCTTTCTGATTGTTCCATACATCAAATCCCGAAGTTCCTCTTCTACTGTAGGAAAATGAGTTTTTAGCCACCATACGGCTTGACCAAATCGAATACCAGCTACAACTACTGTAGTTCCATTACCAGCATTCGGTAAATTAACAGGAAGATTAGTAGGACGACCTCCTGCTATGCGCCAATCCTCGTCCCATGGACCTTCAACAGCTCTTAATTTTACTATTGCATTTCCAGGTTGTCCGAGTGCCTCATTTAATCCATCAGCACCGATCTGAAGAGCTGTACGCCCGTTTACAGCTACCAAATTGGCTTGTCCTGTACCATCAGTCAGATTAGTTAATTCACAATTTGTTTTTGTAGTAATCTCTTCATCAAACCATTCTAAGGTTCTTCCTCTCATACATGCTCTTAAATGTCCTAGTGCCTGAGCTCTTCCATTGCCCCCTGCACCTGCTGGATCTATTCCCCGATTTTGCAAGTCTAGTCTAAGTTGCGCAAGAAAGTCTGGGATACTATCATCCCAGTCAAAATATGGATGAGGTATTCCTGCTATGTTTACTTGATTAGGTGGATTATTCTGAAGCGCCAAAATTTGTCCTTGCAAATTTAAATTATTCTGTCGCTCTTTTTGGGTCTTATTTTTCCATTTCTCGTATCGCTCATAGAGCCTGTCACGATTAAATTCTAACAGACCTATATTCCCTCTACTTCGCTGTAAGTGATGGGCATTTCGCTGATACAGCAATTGTAAGGCAAATTTTTCCTGTAGCAATATACCAATACTGGTTCGCTTTCCTGTTATATTGTCTAACATTCTATTTACTTGATTTTGAGCATTGTTCCGCAACTGATAAAGGTCAGCAATAACCATTTGTTCCACTCCTTCAGCATTTTGCCTTCGTATAATTTCATTATCACGCTCAGCCTCTGCATCATATCGCCTTCGTTGCTCACGGACTAAATCCTGATGCAAATTATTCTCTTTTCGGCGAATCTGCCTTGTCACCCTTTTTATTTGATCAGCTAAGATTTCTCTACCTATTGTTGTACTATTCAGATAACCATCTATAGCATTTGCTAGTTCTGTGATGGTAGCCATTTCTATGTTAATATTAGGATTATACAAGTCTGGAGAATTCCCTCGTTCTGGCGAATTTTTTCGTGATGAGATGGTTCTGATCCGATATCGCAATTTCTCTACCTGTTCCTCAGAATCTACTAACTGATTTTCTATACTAGAAATATGTTTTTCATTATTACAAATATCCTTCTTAGCTTGATATAGTTGCTTTTTTAGGCTGGAGATTTCAGATTTTAACTCTATTATCTCTTCTTTCGAAGCATTTTCAAGGCGCTCTATCTCCCTATTGAGATCTTGAATTTCTTGCTCACATCGGGCATAATCCCGTTCTAGTTGATTAATTCGTCTCTCATTCTGGTGATTAGTATCAACTTCTATCTGCAATTTACTACGAAGATGATAGTTCTCTTCTTCCAGCTCAGCTTTATGTTCTTCACATGTTCTTCTCTGCCTTGGGTGAGATCTGTGAAATGACATTCTTTTTTTCGTGATTATAAAAGAGAATGGGAGAACCTTTGATTTATATTGATCCTCAGAAAGTGCATGATCTTAACCGGGATCTGGGTTAAGGACTAATCTGGAAAATTTGGCAGGTGATACATTTCATCTATAGCGCCTTCGACCAATTTTACTAGGCGATCATGTATGTAGATTATTTAGCATAAAAAATAAAGAATAAGTTATACATTGCACCTTTGGCTAAATAATATTAATTTTCAGTTAAAAGCAATATAATTAAGATATTTCTCAGAATCAGTCAAGTTAGTTAGACAATTGTGATTAGTGTTCCATCCTTCAATCTCAACGCAGTGCCTTTTGGCTGTTTTGCATACCGAGACGAGATAAATATTTCACCTGTATCACTTTTGCAATTCGATGACTGATAAGAAGTTGGTGGAATCATTTCTTGGTTACCAGAGGTAACAGAAATACAAGCTGGCTCAAAATTTGGAGCACTAGGCATAGTATTTTCTGCTATAGTTGCTTTAGCCTGTGCATAAGCTTTATAGAGAATTGTACGAGTATCATAATCATGTGATATCGATGCCAATTTATCCTTTTCTGAGTGTGAGGTAGATTGGGAGAAAAGCTCTAGACGAAGACGATTAATTTTAGCCTCTTCTTGTAATATAGATTGTTTATATTGCCAGATCTGAAATTCCCTTTTATTAATAGATTGGAGAATTTCATTTATTCTTGCATGTTCATTTGAAATAGTATTTCCAGAAATACATCTCTTCAAGTGGTTATCTCGATAGCGATCCTCAAAAAGACCATTTGCAGGTGTGAAAACTAAGGAGTCACATACACTGCAATATATATAATTGGTTGGACGATTATGAATCTTATCATCTACATATAGCTTTCCATACATTGTAATATATCCATTCTTAGAAAGGATTCTATTCCCCGAAGAATAGTTCTCTTCTAGTATTTTCCTAAATGGATCACGAATACGAGAGCACCACATTTCTGGTGTTTCATGATCATGTCTTTCTGCTAAAGGCAATATTGCAACAATAATTCTTATATATTCTTCAGAGCCTCCAACACTATTGTGTGCATGAATTAACTTGGAATAGGCTTTACTATCTAAATCCATATTAGTGTTTTGGTAGATTATAACAGAATATAACAGAATATAACGATTTTATTGATTTATACTGTTTTTAGCGATTTTAGCCAATTTAGCAATAGTATACTCTAATAAATATCAGATTCAAATTTATATGGATTTGCTGGTTAAACAGTTTTAATGGTTTTATTGATCTGTAGCCGATTTAGTGAGACTACACACTAGTAAACCCAAATTCGATTGGGATCATCTTTTGGGCTAAGCTAATCTTATATTTACATGCGTCTTCGGCTAAATCAGTTTGTGGCATGATGTACTGTATATCGTATCACATGAGATCTCCCTAGATAGTTCTAGGGTTTCAATAAATCACGAGATGGTTGGTTGGCCAATCAGATTTCGGATTCTTTCTGATGGTAGAGTCTGGACACGGTGTCCGAGCTCGTCAAAAATGCGCAGAAGCGAGATCAGCATCCGGTTAAATTTATCTCCCGAAATAGCCGGCCGTTAAGGCACTTCGTAACTCATTGCATATATGACTATCTGATGGTAGAGGTGTCCGGGCTCGGCAAATTATTTTCCATGATGTTTGGCAATCAGTTACACATACACATAAAGCCCAATATGGGCGGGATATGCAAATGCTTTATTATATGTTTGAGAATACACGTGAACGAAATTCTGTTTTTTCTGGTGGTAGAGTCTGGACACGGTGTCCGGGCTCGTCAAAATTGCGCAGAAAAATGTATTAATCATATGGCGCAGTACATTATCGAACTTTCTGTTTTAAGATTTCGGCTATTACATAATATTTTCATCCTTAGTTAGATATTCTTTCAATCACAAATTTCAATGAGAAGGCGCATACATAAAAAATCACGTGCATTCCGTTTCAGAATGCCAATACCTTTGCCAAGAAAAATTTCATTACATTAGAAGTAATTTGTATGAAACTAACGCAGGAAGATTATCATTCAGTTAAAAGAAACATGTTATTATTATTATTTGGATGCTACCAGTCAATATATTTTGCACGTAACATTATAACGCAGTATAATTAAAACATTAGATTATAAATTTCGTAAAATACAGTGATACAAATATAATAATTTTTTGCAATAGCTAATAAGTCCACCAATTCAACCCACTTATCTTCGTCCATTTGTTTTTGTCCTATTATTCTTCTTTTTCCCAGGTGGTGAGGTCTTCACTTTATCAATCTTAGAATCATCATCACTTGATTCGGAAATAATATTTGTGACGTAAGTATATATGCTTTCAGTACTTGAAATAATTATATCCTAATTTTCAAGGACGTTAATTACATCAGTGTATAATATGTATGCAATACTTCATGTCAAATACTTACTCGCATCATCCATAGATTTGAGGCGAACTTTGGCAACTCCTTGAAGAGCAAAAACGTCATCGTCGGACAAGAGAACTTTTTTTCTAATTTAAAGTAATAAACTCCAGCAAAGGGCAAACACATGCTATAAATATAAAAGTCATGGTCTATAGGGATTTATGAAAAGAAAAACATTAGATTATACTTAAAATAGAAATATTCATCTGGTGCATAGCACTTACCATATACTTGAATACCATATACTTTTATCCTCCTAAAGTCTTCATAGCAGCCCGAATAGTTAATTTTGATGTAGTTTAGAATAATCTTGAGCATCTTCGCGATTTTATTTCTATCTCCAACGTAATGAGTATGATCAAGACATGTTGGAGATCCCGAAACTTCTAAGACTGAGATCTCTAAGTCTAGTTCCACCATTTATATGATTGCGTCAATTTTATTGCCGGAGCATCGTCGATCATCATCTTTTAATGACTGGTTGAGCAAAACGGCAGAAGATCGCAAAGTTTTTTCTCCCCTATTGTATGACAAATTAGCAATAAATAAAAACAATACTATTAGGCATTGAAAAGTATTAAGTCCATTCTAACTCACCAAGCTTGTTTCAAAAATGTCTTGTCTTTGAATAATAAGGTATAGACGCGAGAAATAAACCTAATTATGTAATCATATTCGGTCTGATCTTCTTTGAAATAGTTTGCACCATTTGGAAACTGATCCCGACTATAATAACGCAAAATTGTACATTAACATAAAATCCGATCAAAAAAATAGTCTACATAGAATACTTACAAGATTTTCATCAATCCCAAGGCCCGTCTCTTCCATTTTATATTATCACCAGTCCGCAACTTTGCACGCTCCGTTTTTATGGCTTCACGCAATTTCTTTGCAGAATTCTGATGAAACAGGTATCAGAAACGAAATCAATTATTCTAAAAATAACACCTACTTACCACATTTGTCGAGATGTATTTTATATATTGTTTTACTTCTTCTGCCTGCCCGTCTTGTACTGTGTCTTGATCAGATGAAGCTGAGGTGGAGGCAGAAGCAGAAGCTAATTGTGTTACATTAGGACTTGATGTTAAAAATTTTTCTACAGTGCTGATGATATCATCCCAATGCTCCTCGAAGAGCTTTCGTGCTTCTGTTGCAGATGAAGCAGTTGTGTCGATAATATTGTAGCGCATTAAACTGTAAAATAAAGTTTTCATTAGAAAATAGTAACCAAGGTGTGTAATCATATAAAAGGAATGATAAAAACAAAAATAAACATACTCTTGCTTGTGTATTTCTTCAACGTATTTTGACGATTTACGCCATTTCTCCATTGCTGACCGGATGCATACACCATTAATTATTAATTTACAATCAACGATAGCACCAGGGTTTTCCTGTAAAAGGCTGTCTTCCAACTCTTCTTCGGGAATATCATTTCTATCTAAGGTAAATGCATGCTCCTCATCATCGTGGATATTATTCACGTTTTCTTGAACTCGATTGATAATGGGTTTATTAGGCGTCATATCAGGCGTTAAAGTATGTGTGACCGAACGAGTTGGACATGGCGTGCTTTTATGAGAACTAGAGTCATCACGGACATATTGTGATATTGCGTTTTTATTCTTGATAGATTTCAAAAGTAGGTTAGAATTGGATGATTATGTATATAACCTGATAAAAAAAATAATTACGATACCTTAGAGGATTCAGCGACCTCTGTCATAGGTGGTGTTGGATACAGTGTAGCAGATTCATTTTCTCTCTTTATCCCCTTGGGTTTATCAGATTCGTAATAATGTGGGATATTTCTTCCGTGCCTAGTTTGACGTTGCTTTTGATTATGGGGTATATCAAATAAATTCACAAGTTTGTAAGATAAGGTAGTATGATGTATCACATTTTTTTCCTATGTTCGCTCACTATATCATCCGAAATGTAAGAAGACATTTTATTATAGGTCATTGGAAACTACAAATACCTTATTTTTCGGAGTTTTGAAACAGTTTCGTTTGTCAGCTCCTTGATCAAAACAATTCACGTCATCTTGTCTCTTACGTTTTAATAATAAACTAGTTTCAGAAGATGAAATGGAACGAACTTCTTCTGTTTCTTCATTTACGGCATGTATTGTACTTTCGGCATGTCTTAACTGCTTATAATATTAAGTTGGTTTTTGAAATATTTATTAAAATTATAAACAGTAATTCACTGACCTTCTCAAGTTCGATTCTTTTTTCATAGTTCTCCATGCAAATCGATGACCAAAACGAATTTGCAGGCCCTCCGTTAGACTTGTTGAAATAAATAAAAGTAAATAAAATTGGTTATAATATGCGCTAGAAATGAATGAATTAATGTAAAATATAGTGATGTAAACTGATCGAGCGAAACATGCCATGCCGTAGCTTGACAACAAATAACCGTAGTCATCTGTTGCGACATGTCAATAGGCGTACCCTATTCAAGTACACCCGAAAAGCCGTAGCCATACCAAAGTCACCGTAGTTATTGGTTATTCGGGGTTTGTCAACACGAATGTGTTCTAGTACTTGAACTCACCCATTTCAGCTTACTGTAATTTTGGGTTATACGGTGTACTTACATCAAATTCCTTGAGATATCTCTTTGCTTTTTCACGGTACTCCTCATTTTCATGTTTTTCAGCTAAATACTCCAGATTTCTAACATAAAAAAAGTGTTCGTCTGCTTTATTCGATTTAAAATCTTTTTGAGTTTTGCGATGTTCCAAGAAACCTAATAAGCTCCAATCTTCATTATGTTGGAAGTATTCGAGCGATCTAAATTTTAAAAGAGACATAATTACGTTTTGTGTAAATATAAAAGTTTCACGACAAAATATCTGATTTAAGGTCGTGATCGGCGTGAATCACGTTTTACAATTCTACTTTGAGATGATTCGTGACCCGTGGTCACATCACTACTATTTACATATCAGAATAACTTGTTATACATGATAATGATAAGATTTATAAATTATGCTATGATCGCGAATTTGAATTTATTGCTTGAAGTGAAGCAAGTAAGACAATATTCCGTTTCATTTTTATACCATTCGCCATGTAATCCGTAATTCCCATGTTTTCCATCGCAAATAGGACATGCTGAGCTCCACGGCTGAGGTGATGCAAAATTATAATTATCAATCCCTCTGAAACTATTTCGGAATTTCAAGTATGGGAAGTACTCTAAGACGGATTTGCTAATTAATTCTGGATCGGGTCTGACTTCAAAAGTTATAGGCCCTTTTTCTGGCTTTGAATTTATAACTTCTGATTCATGTACTTCTGTTAGTTGCCATGGCTCATTTCCAGTTTGTTTTTTATATCTTTTGTATAATTTGGAACGAATCTTATCTGTCAAAATACTTGGTAATTCAATTAATTTGGTATGCCAATCCAGATATTCGGCGGTTAGTATTTTATCAGACTCAGTCATTTTCCTTTTTATATGACCGCAATCAATTTAAATCCCCGCCCCTTTGTTCTTCGAACTGCAGGGTGAGAAAAAAACCTATCTGTTATACGGAGCCTGCGAGCCTGCAAGTAAGAAATATATCACTTTTCTCCCACCCCGAAATCTTTGATTGAGGGGTAAGACTATGCAGTTATCTCAATTTCACGCTGTTCACATTTAATAAAGTAAGATCCGGTATTATACGTACCTTCTATTTCTTCATCATCATGACCTAATTTGCATAATGNATTATTAATAGGTTTAGGCACAATCTTATTAAACCACTCATCTAAAATAATATTAGAAGATAATCTGGACATATTTCTTGTTCGAACGAATTATAATGATTTATAGCAATTTATTGATTTATAGCGTTTTTAGCAACTTTTTAGTATCTTATACTAATAGATAATATGTTTCAAATTTGCCGGTTAAGCAGTTTTAATGATTTATAGCAGTTTTATTGATCTGTAGCCGATTTAGTGAGACTACACACTAGTAAACCCAAATTCATTTCCCCCTTGCCTAAAGACTGCGGGGTGAAGTTAATAGTTCAAAAATCTTGGCAAATTTCAGCCGGGGCCCCGGCCAAAAACATATTTTTTCGAATCTAGAGAGAAAAAAGGGCTATTTTTATATTTACATGCATATGCACAGCGCTTTCGGCTAAATCAGTTTGTGGCATGATGTACTGTATATCGTATCACATGTGATCTCCACCAGTTCCCTACCAGTTCCTCGATAGTTCTTGGAGAGTTCCAGGAGCTGGCGAGTTTCCATAAATCATGAGATGATCGGCCAATCAGATTTCGGACTTTTTCTTTAGCCGGATAGCCTTTGATTCGGGAAAATCATTACAACTGTTTTTTCTGATGGTAGAGTCTGGACACCGTGTCCTGGCTTGACTTAATTGCGCAGAAGCGAGATCAACATCCGGCTAAATTTGTCTCCCTTGATCTGCGATAGATAACCTATCCAGTTAGCTTGCCCTGATATCTTGGTTAAATTTATCGTGGTAGAGTCTGGACACGGTGTCCGGGCTCGACTTAATTGCGCAGAAAAAAAAGAATTAATCACATGGCGCAGTAGTCAGCAAATTAGCCATGTTTTTTTATTCGAAATACTATTCTCTATGACGTTCGGCAAAAAAGACTTGGCAGTAAAATATTAATGTATTTTAAAATAAAAGTGTTACGCTAACTGCAAATGCTTTATTAATATATGTTTGAAAATACATGTGTAAGAAATACTATTTTTCTAATGGTAGAGTCTGGACACCGTGTCCGGGCTCGGCAAAAATGCGCAGGACATTAACGAAGTTTCTGTTTTAAGACTTCGGCCATTACATAATCCTTTTCATCCTTAGTTAGATTTAAGATAAAACCTGGAGGGGTGGTTTTAATCTGCGCTATTTTTTCTTTGCCTATACTATTAAAAAGCTTATAAACCTTTTCGGATCTCTCCATCCTTTTTCGCAAAGCTTCGTCAGAACATTTTGCTTCAGGAATCGCTTTTCTGACCTCACTTTTAACCAATGCTTGAGATCCATCCTTACCATGCTCGAGTTTTAATTCCTTGTATCGTTTAAATACAGCTTCCCCAAAATCAAAATAGCTGTAAATAAGACCTTGAGATGCATCTTCATTTTTAGATTCAGCGCTATCAATCTTATCGTATAGTTGCAAAAAATTGCTGGTTTCGTTTTCACTTGCTTCTTCCAAGTTCTCTCCAGCTACATCTGATATCACATCAGTTAATAATTCTTCGATAAGTTTTTTTAGCATGCTCGATACTTTCTTCCCACCAGTCTTTTTCGCTTTCTTGCTAGACGATTTTTCGGTAGATGCGGACGATTCTCTAGTACGTTTTTTCTGTGCATCACTCGGATCCTGTTCTATTAGAGTTGATACCTCTGACATCGTTTCAGACGAAGGGCAGGTAGGAGTGTAGGACACATCTTGCGTGGATTGTCAATGCAATCACAGTGCACAGCATGCTTACAGGATAATCTTTCAAAAATTCTAGAGAAATTTCTTCGAAGCATTTCTCACATATGGGCGTTGGATTTGTCCGCTAGAGTCCTTTGAAATCGAGTCACCCACATTTTCGGAATTGCCAGGCGTAGTACTAACAACCTCAATAGGGCTGGTTGCCTGGTCAGAAGTTTCCTTAGCAATCTCAGTAGTCTTGGACGAACTTTCTTCCTCTCCGCCTAATAATCCCAGTCTGCTCAGATAAATTGCATCAGCATCCTCACCTATGTGAGTTGGATTTTCAGAGTCTACTTGTTTAGTGGCAGTGTCTTCCGCAGTCGAGGTTGTAGGTTTGTCCATTTCTTTAAAGAGATCTTGAGTTATTAGAGTTTCGATCTCTCTGCCTTTACAAACCCAATTTGGACATATTAGCTTGGCTCTTGTTTTCGCTATATTCAAGAGACATAATTTCAAAAACATATCAGTTTATACTAGGTGTAATGAATATGATGACATTTTTCGTGTTGATGATAAAGTACTTTTTTGTAATTACTGCAATGTTTCTGTAGAATAAAAAAAATGCAATAATATCACATTATAGAAAAAAATCACATCACATATTTTATTTTATCACATCATAAAATCATTTCGGGTGATTATTCTCACATGATTATTTTATCCCGGTGCAGTACAACCTTTATTTTTTTCGTTAGCGACGATCAGAAAAAATATTATTTATTCTTATGAATAAAAATCTCTCACATATTTAAAAATTTTCACTCATTTCAGGAAAACATTAACTATTAAATGCAGTTAGTAAGTCAGTTTAACTACAAGTATTCGAAAATGCAGTAAGTCTAGGTTCATCTCCAATATCCAAGAATTTAAGGGGAGCGTGTAGTCACGTGATTTTTATTATGATCAACATGGCACAAAATTTAGGAATCCGAATCGGAAATTTTTAAGGGCGTCTCATAAATCCAGCCAGAATAGGATCACAGAATCCTACCAAAATTATAAAAAATATTTTATTTTTTTTTTTGTAATACAATATAAATTTTTTGTAACTCTCATTTCAATAAAAAACTCCAACACCGATTTTGTGCTATTTCTATGGCATTTTCGGTAATTCCTTCTATTATTACTTTACCGGACAATTGTGTAGAACTTGTACTTGTATTTACTTTTTTTAAATCAATACGAACTTTTACCAAATTTTTTATAATTAAATTGTCAAGTAAACGAGAAATATCTTCAAATCGCCGAAGAGTTTTGTTGTAATCTTGTTTGTAAATCGGTAAAGAACTGAGTTGCTTTTCTTTGATATTATTGTTATTTGCTTTAGCAAAAACATGAATAATATCGATAGGTAAAGTAAGTTGATTTCTCATTCCCAAAAATTCTGTCACAGCGATAATAACTTTCAGTAAATGAATTACATCATTTTTAATATTTTCAGATTTTGGAAGATCTTTAAAATAGTTTATGCAACAATCACATTTTGTACACCGCGGAATTTTGGAATCGGATTGCCATGAATGGTAAGCTGCAAGTTGTTGGGCACGACATTCATAAATACTCTCACAATAAGTAACCATTTCAAATATCTTCCTTTGCCCCTTGTTTAGATATTGTGTGCGTTCAAGAGATGTAGATTCATTATTATCGAAATCACTATAAAGAAAACTATTTATTAAATAAGTTTTTTATTTGTAATGAAAGAAATTCACAGTACCTTTCACGGCCTCCTGTAATTATGGTATATACAGTTTTAATATCATTTCGGGAATAAAACAAAATGCTTTGTGCTGGATTTCCATCACGACCTGCACGTCCGGATTCTTGTATAAAATTACCTATGTAATAAAAAGAAAAAGGTAAATTTTCTTATAACTGATATTTTAACAAATAATATACAGTAAATCCTAACTTATACTAGACGGAAATGTATAATGTACAACAGTGCGAATATTAGGTGAATTTACGCCCAACCCAAAAGCATTTGTTGCTATCATGACTTTTAGTAGTCGAGATTTCCATTGAAGCATAACTTGATCTCTTTCAAAACTTTCAAGACCTCCGTGATAAGTGCCAATTGCTGTGCCTTTTAGTTTGTCTTGCAATAAAGGTAATATTTCATTGCATATACCTGGAGAAGAACAATAAATTATGCATTGACCATCACTAATTTCATTAACAATTTTAGCTATTTCCACTAAATTTCTTTCACTGGTACTCTTTTTTTTCACTATATATTCAATTTCAGGACGGGAAAAGCATGAACTGCGAATCACATTAAAGTTTACAGAATTAATATTGAGGTTTTGACGAATTACTTCTGCATCATCTTGGGAACAAGTGGCAGTAAGAAGTAAAATGGAAGTGGATGGAAAAAACTCTTTTAAGCAGCCTAGCTTCCTCCATTCAGGCCTAATAAAATAATGTAAGAAGTTTAGATTAATATATATATATATATATATATAAAAGAAATTGTAATTCTTACCTGTAATGGTTATATTCCAGTATACAATGGGCTTCATCTATTACAAATCTAACGCCTATTTCTCCATGAACTTTTCTTAACATATTACGAAAACCTTGATTGAGCATTAGTTTTTCTGGTGTTATCAATAATATTTTGAGCATTTTACTCTCGATTTCTTGAAAAACTTTCTCTTGGTATTCCAATGATTGTCCTGTTGTTGCGTAAAGCCCTGCACATGGTATTCCAACTTTGATTAATTCGTTCTGAAGTAAAGATAAAGGCAAGTTAATATTTTTAAAATATAATCACTAAATCTTACACAATTACCACTTGATCTAAAATTAATGCTTTCAAAGGTGAAATCACTACTGTCAATCCAGAAAAAATCAAACTGGATGCTGCGTAACAAAAGGTTTTGCCACCTCCTGTTTGAATTAATGCAAAAACATCCTGACCTTGGGTATATGATTGAATAACTTCTCGTTGATATAAGCGGAATGAAGAAAATTGAAATATATGTTGAAGAATAAATTGATCTGGAGGAATTATTTGAACAGGTAATTTTGAAGTTGGTTGATATGATTCATTAATAATTCTATCATGGTATCCCATTTGAATATAATAATTACATAATTTACATAAGCCACTAGATGTGTATTTGGGAAAAGAGCGGCAACATATACATTTGACTGTAGTGGAAAAGTTTTTGATATAACAAGCAAATGAGGGTGTAAATTCTTCATATTGTTGTATTCTTTTTTGAAACTGGCGACCATAAGGTACTAATTCTTGACTAAAGTCAAAAGATTCTAATTCATTTCGTTGATTTAATATTTTTTCACCTTTTTCTTTTGTCTTTTGTGCTAACTTTTCATTATTACGTTCTCTATTTGCCTGTCTTTCTTCTTGTATCTTCCTAATATTTATTATATCATTCTCAGAATAACTCCCCACTCCTACGGTGTAAATAAATTCCAAAAGATTTGCAATTCCCTCATTGTTTTGGATTACAGCCAGAGAATAGCGAGCTGCAAATGACTTCCAATAATCAATTAATTTAGAAAGATAAACTAATTTAGTTCTATTGAATGATTCATTAGATGAAGTGCGAATTTCTGTTACTAAACCTTGGCCTTTTGGTAATTGAAAGATTGTAAGTAAAAATTGGCGGAATGCATATCGTTGATTTTCAGTATATGTAATTAGATTAGGTTCTTTCAATTCAATATCAGGATTTTCTTTGATCCAGCAAACCTCTGGCCAGCATAAAGAATGATTGCCACAAAGATGTCTAACTAATCCCTCTACTTGAACATACTTCAATTCATCTTCGCTAGGAGTATCTATTTCTTTATCAGCTTTTCTTGCACCAGCAGCATAAATGCATCCATTAAAATACTGCATTATCACTTGCTCAAAAGAACGCCACTGTACATTCTTTACTATAATAAAAATAAGGTGAATTTAGTTAATAATTAAATTCCATTTATTGAATTTATATTTTTAAACATACTGACCAATTTTGCTACGTATTAATTTTGCAACATGTTTTAAGTCAGCAAATATTTGGTTAACTATTGCTACTGTGCCGAGTGTTTTATTACTTTCCAAATCTCCATCTATTCCGATATCAAGTAGCAGATCAAATTCTTCCAAAATTGGTGTAACTTTTTGAAGAATAGCAATTAATATTGCGTGTTCCATTTGTCTGGAGCTTTTGTCATGATTGCCCTTATGTACAATAACACTCTCACCATTTTTCTTGCATTTACGCGATTTTTCAACAAAATAAAATCCAAGAATGGGTCTGTGAGGATATCCATCTAATTTTTTTGAAAAGATAAATTCTCCGCTGGCCTGATTTGCATTTCTTACATGTGACCATGACACATCAAAACTTACTGGCAGAATTTTTTCATTTATTTGCTTTATATATTCACATGTCAATCGAAGAGCTTTGTTTGCACTTTCTTCTGCCTTTTTACAAATCGGATGGAAGATTTTTTTTTGATTTTCATGGTGAGATTTTTTGGTAAGTTGCTGGGTTATTCCAAGTGTTGCTAATATCATTTCAAGTGATTGACGATTGATTCCTCCTACTAATCCACTACTTGCCACTGCTAAAGAAAAGTTTGAAGAAGTTTCATTGGAATATTCTGTATATTTCCCACAATCACATGTAATTGAAACTTTGAAAGTGAATCCTATAGAACAAACACTATATTGACGTTTAGAATCAAGCATTGTAAAGCATTGCGAACATGGTTGAGACAATACTAGTCGGAGGAATTGGTCTGTATTAATGAGCATAGTGGTACCTATATTTGATTCTTGTATTAAATTTGAAACCTTACTCTCGATATTTTCTTTATTTTCTTGTAGGTTAACAATAAAAGGATTCATTGCCTGTTCATGTTCAACTAATTTATTTTCTGTACGCTTTAATTTTTTTTTCAGATTTCTTTTTTCGTTAAGTTCTGAAGCATATTCACATACAAGTGCTTGGGTCGATTTAGGAGTCATGGGAAGACCATTAGAACTGATTAAAATACCCGAATTGATTTTTACTGTATTAGAAGTTGTTGAAGTAGATATATTATTTTCTAAATTTTCACATAAACTACTTGCTTTTCGTTTCATTTTATTTTTTATTCTATTTGTAGTTACAATCGCATTATGAGCCTGTTTAACTTGAGTGAATAAATTTGGAAACGTCATATTAATTACATTCCTGAGTTGAATCACAATTTCCAAAATATTGAGTCCTATTAAAGCAGGAATTGAAACGCGACCATCTATATTGAGATAATGAATCAATCCATGAAAAAAATTACGATGGGAGGATCTGTGTACACAATCAGTAAGAGAAATATCATCTTCATAATCTTCATACATATAAATTAAATTATTGTTGCTGTCTTTAGTAATTGCAAGTCGTAAGAGTTTTTTTTTCCAAAGAATTATTACTGTATAACCAACTAATAAAGGAACCCAAGTACTTGTAGAGTTATCTTTTGGATAATTATGTACTGTTAAAGCAAGGTATGGAGTAGTTGTTGAAGAACTAGAAGTAACAAGTTCGTTGTGTATATCCAAAGCTTCCAAAGGTACGGATTTGTCAAATACAAGCCAACTATTATTATATGGTCGCTGGTAACTTTCGAAATGCGGATTCCTTTGGCATAAAATTTGATACCATTTCCGTAAAGGCATGTCTAAATAGTAGAATAACAATAAAGTTAAAATTTGGAAAGTGTAAATAATAAATAAAAGCATAATATCGTTTTTGAAATAAAATTTGGGTAACTAAAAAATCCCGGCAAATAGGATTCTGAACTTTTATATAGCGATTCTGAACTTTTTTTGAACTTCTTTTGATATTTTCTTCTAAAATATAATATGTAAGTCTATATAAAAACTGTACCTGACGAAACTTTAGGTTCTAAAAAATGAGAAAAAGTGGTTTTTATTTTTATATTGTTTATTTGATTATCACGTTGACTTTGACGCGAAAATCTAAAACCGCAGAAAAATTTTTGACGCCGATCAATCTTATATTAAAAATCACGTGACTACACACTCCCCTTAAGTGGATTTCTCGGCTCATGTATATAAGCTAGTTGATCCGTGACATCATTACCTACAAGAGCATATTCGACCTGATCACCGGGTTCATTTTCCCAGACCGTGATTTTAGCCTGAACCCACTTGGTCCAATTATTATTGTCGCCAATAGAAACATCAAACATTCTACATGCAGAATATTGTACTGCAGGTGCTCCATAACCTTCGGCTATTTTATAATGTGTACTCCATCCCCATTTTCCACCAAGTGTCCTTCTAATATAATATGGCAAGATTGTTTGTGGTGCTCCTGTATCCACCACACATGAATACAATTTGTTGTTATATTGCACATCATAAAAATCATAAGGAAGTAAAACAATTGATCCATCACTCGGTCTTCTGACACGAACCCTGACCTTTATTTGAAAATTTTATTTAAGTTAACTTGAAACTACAGTACATGGATATATCTTTAAAAGTACTAAATTTCATAATGAAATATCCTAAATATATAATTAAGTGCATATTCAAACCTTGTAGTCGTTGCCATTGTTTACACGCTGAACTGTCACCATCTTCGCCGGTGGATTACGTGGCAGTTTTGTCTGGTCGACCGGAAGTTGGACAGCGCCAGGCATAACTTCAAGAATGTAGCTCAGACTATCATCGTCATACATCTGCCCATACTGTACTGCTCTCTGTTTGTGTACTGTCACCCACTCATTTTTATGTTCAGCAAATTCACCGTTGTCAAGTGCGTTGTAGAAAAATAAGTAATTAAGCCCAACTTCTAACCCAAACTCTTCATCGTCATTGTCGGTGATATCCATAAACGTACCCCTTCTAATGTATTCCGGCATTGAAGTGGGCCACCTGAAGTTCTTGTTCACGCGAGCTATAAATAATTACATCAAGGGCCACATATATTACTACTGTGCTATGAAAAAAAAATATAAAAAAACTATTTATTACCGAGAAACCTTTGTGCTTGACCGGGCCTTTTCTCATACACAGATAGAGTTTCAAGTGTTTCATGCTCTTTTTGAAAAGTTTTCATTACTTTAACTAAAATAAAAAGTCTAGCAAGAAATAATCGACATTAGTATAATGATTTTTGCAGAATACGTAACTATTATATTTATTCGTAAAGAAATATACCCAACAGATGGGATCAAAATGGGTGAGAGCGCGCAAATTGTCGTCACTAAGTAAGAGTTTTTAATAACGTTGGTGACGTTAAGCATGACTTTTGATTTGGAAAGAGTGTCGTTCAGTTTCTAGTATATAACGTGTGTGGGCATCAACGATCCGCTTAATAATTCAAATAGATCGACTTTTTTCGGACATCAACTGCGCATCGATCTCACATGACGAAGTTTCCGCCTATTGGCTACCAGAAGACTTCGTATTTTTCACAATGAATTACGTCGTGAATTACGTGGGGATCGATGCTACTCCTTAATTTTTAGGAATAACTATTTCCGGTTTTTCGTCATACCATACTTCAAGAAGAAAATTTTCTTCGAGTTTTTTGGCATCTTTATACCAGCTGGTGCTATGAAACCGATGCTGAGCCCCTTGCACCTCCAACCCGATTCGATATTTTTGGAAGAAGGCATCAAGCTCTAATCCATTCAAGAAAGGAGGACGATATTCGATAATAGGTTCCTCATTAAGGATTTCCTTAGCTATCTGGATACATCTAGTCTGGAATTTGCGATTTTTCTTAGCCTCTCTTTCTACCGGACCCTGCTCTAGTTTTAAAATTCTAGCATCTCTTTCTGCCTGATCCTGCTCTAGTTTTAAAATTCTAGCCTCAAGTGCTTCAAGCTTAGCTTTCTCATCAGTTTTCTTAGCCTCAAGCTCAGCGATCAACACCTCAAGATCAGATGTCATGATAGATGATATTTTCATACACGAAAGAATTATTTAATGTTACGTGGCAAATGTTCGGGACTCTCTTTTGGATAAGATTCGAAAAAAAAGAAATAACTTATACGATAATTCAGTCTATGCTTTTACCGATACTATTGGAATTCCAGGTTTAAAAGACTCCCTGCATTTGAGACGATAAGTTCGTTCTCCGTAATACTCACCATCACCCCATTCACCTTTTATTTCATCAAATATACTTCGATTCACTTTATGGTCTCCATTACATAAAGGGCAGAGTGCTGAACTATCAAGATTAAATGTATCACGGCGTTCATCACTATCGTCTAAAGATAGATAAGGAAACTTCTCTAGCACCAACCCAATGATATGTTTTCGCTTCTCTTCGGGATTTTCAGGCAAGATAGAAACCGGAAGTCCGGGTCTGTTAGATACATTTATCTGAGGCACAGGTGATGTACTCACAGCTACTGGACCGATTCTAGAGGAATTATCTGAAGAATTGACGTTAAGGCGGAGATGGGTCAATGGAATAGGTGATGTTGGAATGCTTACCTCAGCTCGCGTTGCTGAAACCGCCTCCGATGCATCGGTCTGGTCACACGAAATCTCCTCTTCAGAATCGATAATAGAGCCTTCTTGATCATCTGGTAATTCAGTGTTGGGATTATTGGAGAAATAATCAACAATAGTTTGAATCTGACTGTCAGATAGTTCTGCAATAGAATTCGCACTATATGTTTTAATATATTTAATTTTATCAATTCCTATTTTTTCGGTAAACTCATAAACCTTCCTAGCTCTACTGATGCGCTGATATAAAGTCTTTCGTTTGGTGTCAGGATTGTGTGCAAGAATAAAATCATAAATCAGTCCTTTGGCCTTTTTCGTTCCCACCTTTTCTTTGATCATGATTTCATCTATACTATTATCCAGTCCTATAATAAAATTTCTCCAGCACAAAATTTCCGCCTGATTAGCCTTTACCCTTTCATTTTCTGCAGTACATGCATTCTCATATAAGCGGTTTATATTTTGCAATACGTCTGAACTTGATAACTCTGCTAAGCAATTATTTTCCTCACGGCCCGTCAGCGAAATTTCTGTCATGTGCAAAGCACCTTCCGGCTGTTTTTTCTCGGACCTATCCATGGTAAAATCAAATACATCCTGCACGATATTTTCCACTTCTTTCTTCTTATGTGATCGAGATTCTTTGTCTACAGAAGAGGCGGAGTTTACTTTAATGAACACATCCCCAGATAAGCCCTTGGTAGATGATTCACGCAATAATTTCTTTTCCCTGTTCCTCTGCCTAATCTCATCGCTAACCTTTTTCTTGTATTCTTCATCCAAGAAAACAACTGTCTCCTTATCTTCCAAGGATTTCTGATCACATTGGTCTATAACAGATATATTAACAGCTGATACGGTTACCTCTGCTAACTCCTCTGGTATCGGTTCTTCAGGTAATGAAGTATCCATTTCCACATCCACTAACGGTTTCTCATGTTGCGTTACCGTTGGCTCTGCAACTGAATTGAAGTTAGGTGTACTGATGTTAGAAGAATTATGCGAAGTGCCTCTCGGCTCATTATGTAACTGATTCTGTTCCACTTTCGTGAGTCTATCTCTAACTTCAATATTCTCAGATTTCAACTCCTCGATTGTGGCCCTGAGTTTGGCATTTTCAGCATCACGCCTCTCGTTATATTCCTTATTCGCTCTTAGAAATTCGTTATTACTGCGCTTAAGTTCAGCTATTTCAGCATCAGACACTGACAGCTTTCTTCTAAGATTTACGTTCTCAGCCTCAAGTTCAGCGATACGCTGTTTCGATAGTTCAAGCTCAGATGGGTTAGCTTCGTTAACCGACATGATCAATAATAACTAATACATTGTATATAACTATTCAAAATAAAAAAAATATATCATGTGATTTTCCCTCACGGCCCGTAAGCGAAATTTGCCAAGAAAATTTTTTTATTAATACATGTAAAAATAAATACAAATGTTCGGGACTGTACCCATGATACATGACTATTTTTTTTGATCTAATGTCTATCCTACGGACTAACTAACCACCTGACATTTACGTGACTTGGAAATTCGCCCCTCCTTCTTTACGAAATGTCTGTAAAATACATGATTATTAATTATAATAAACTAGGATTACAAGTAATCGTAGTACAGGAATTTGTAAAATAATAAATTCTTACACAATATATCCATCTAGCAATTGAGATAATTTGAGCTGTTCCTCGTCGAAAAGCTTTCTCTTCTTTTTTGTGTCCTCCCGGCTTGCCATCCCGAAGTCAATCAGGTATAGGGCACCTTTATCGTTAATTAAGATATTTTCCTCCCGAATATCATTGTGGAGGATACCATGCTTGTGGATTGCTTCTAATCCCTTAATAGCCCTTGACTTTTGCTGTTCCGTAATTTTTTGGTCGCTCAACATAGTGCCAACAATGGTTAAGCCGATAACGAAGCTCATGCCTCCTCCATAATATCCATAACAGACCAGCTTTGGGATATACTTGCCTTGAATATCAGCTAGATCTTTGTACATCTCTACTTCCTTCTGCATTTCTTTCAGAACATACGATGGAGCCTTCGACAAGTCTACGCTCTTCAGAGCAATTGTATCACCACGAAACTCGCATAGGAGCGTTTTACCACTTCGTCCTTCACCTAGTATGCCCTTAAACTTGAAGTCCGTGAAGCTATAATCTTGTTGGTCTACAGGAGTGATAGAAAAAGATTGTTGATTCGCAGATGTGCTGGAAGCCTGATTATTTAATGAGGAGCTGGATGATGATTTTGAGTTTGATCGAAGAGTTCGTGAATTATTATCCCCTTGAGCCGGCACTAGTACTTGAGGTTTAGGAGAGTTGGGATTCTCTTTCGCCTGTCGATTTAGATAAGCATATGCCTTGAGTACTGGTGGAGATTCTGATTTTAGTGTAAGGGTTTTTGAGATCCAGAGCTTCGTGTGTTCTCGGCATAGAAACCAGTGATTATCATATGTGGTAAGAATACCGTATCTAAGTTCGTTTCCTCCCATATAATTATAGATTTGCTGAATCACATCCTTGCCCTTACTTGTATTATAAAACTCGGGAAATGTCTGTTCCCCCATATCTTCTAAAACATGTTTTCTTTTAGCCTCCATCACCAAGATCAATGAACCTATGAGATGACAGTTGAAGTCTGGTATGCCGGGAGTGTCAGTAGGTCGCCTTGAATATACGTAGTCTGGTCCTGTAAGATCATTCAATATCATACAAATATTAACATTTATGGCATTACGAACATCCTCTTCATCGACCACAGCAAATTTATCATTAAATCTCGGCCTCTCGAATATCGGCTGTTGGTCGAAGCGGAATTGATTCACTTTATCGAAAAAGTCCCCCCAAAGCTGTACACTTGCCGGCGGGTCACCTACAGCCTTAGTAGTGGTATTCGAGGTAACGCAGTCCGTAGAATATGTTATGGGTGGCGGAATACACGACAACGCCTCTTCCAAGCTGAGAACTGGAAACGAATGCGTGTTAATATTATGAGGGCAAATGACGAAAATTACAGACCTTACCAGACCTCCAGACACTTACGGGGTAATTTTACAATAACATGGATATGTTCTTCGAGAGGTGAGTCTGGGAAATATTTCGAAATCTTTCTTATTGCCAACAGCTCGTCACTGTCCTGGAGTATTAGATTTCTTAATTGATCGTCCTGATCGCCAGGGATCTACACCTTCCATAGCTTGAGCCTGTCTGCAGGAAAATTGTCGAACTCTGGTGCTTTTTCCGCCTTAATAGCTTTCTTGAGTTCGCTAATAGGTTCGTCTCTACTTATTTTAACAGAGAAAGCGTTCGCGGTTGTATTTCCTTTAACAAGACAGAATAAAGTGATAGACATATTTCCGACTTATATAGTATTTTTTGCGAAATGTTATTGGCTCAAAGTGCGGTATATGAGGACAAGAGTAAAAAGAATTTATTTGCGAAAAAAATACTGAGGCCTAGTATATGTGAGAAATTATTCTGTTTCACAGACCTGCCGTATGATCAGCAATTGCATGGTGCAACGAACGCCTAATCACTGCGCCTCCTTAACCGTGAAGACTCTTCTCGCTTATCACCTGATATAGTGCTACTTTTTATATAGGCTAGATTGGTTCGGATAAAAATGTTAGATTTTATAGTCCTGGACCGCATCATTACACGTGACCCATTTCTCATGTACAGTACAATAATAATACTTTATTTATGGAATAAAAGAAATAAAAAAAACGTTGCCGGAAGGGTCCTAGAGGGACCAAGCCGACCTACAATACATAAAATTGCGAATATACCGCTACATGATGCTCTATAATATTTAAATTTCTACAATAATATGAATTTTATCGTTAGGAGGTTGCTGGGGAAAATGCCTAGAAATTAATTGATATGGGAACATTTCTTCTCCACGTTGGCCTTGCCTATTATTATATTGTCTAATTTGATCACTAATAGTTATAATCACTCCTGAATCGATCTTGCGAAGAATAAAGTTGGTAGGAAGAATATTTTCAAATAATGATGGCCACCTTTCCTTAATCATAGGTCTTAACTGATCGACCGTCTCGTTGGTAGAGATCTTAAGCGTAGTAATACTATGTCTTGTTACACTTTCGGGCTCGGCGCTGGGGATAACAAGGCAATTAAGAGTTAAAGTATTGGCCATTGTCTGGTTCCTATTTCCAAGGACTCATGGTTAGAAAAACTCGCTCCCATACATACATAACTTCTAGCATAAACATACCTTATTTTGCGTTAGCTACGCTAGTGAAACTATTTTCTCTGGGAAAGTTTTTTGCGGAAAGTTGGCTGAACTTCCACATACCTCTACATGCTTTATATATGCCTGGGAAAAAGTTAAGGAGGCATGAGGCGTAATTAGTATTGTCGTATGATGCCAAGAGCTCTATGAAAGCACATGTAAACGGAATCCTCTTACCTTTTCACATGGAGATCTACCGGAGAGACATAGTTGGCTTTACGCCTGCTGATCTCGGAATTGCGACTCCACTAGCCTTTCATAACATATGCTTTTGTCAGCACTATTTACTTTTAGAGTTGGTCCTGTGTTGCATGTAGACCTCCTTTCACATTTTTCTCATGATTGTTCGGGAAAAAATAAAGGTTAATATGTTTTTTTGATATATATGCGAAAATTAATATGTCGCACAGGCCCTGTCTGGTGATCGGCTATTACATCATTGCGCAGAAATCTGTGCTAAGTCTTCCGAGCTAATGATCAGCACATAGATCTTCAAATATAACTACTGTATCATTGCTCCGGACTGGCTGGCTTTGAAGAACAATCATCTTTTTGCGCAAACTCTAGCTCCTGTGCCAATCTATCCAATGTTAATTTAAGACCAATTATATATGCTTCTTGTCGAAATTCAGGTGCAACCCCTGCTAGAAACACCTTTTTAATATTTTTATTCGCATCTTCTATAATATCATCTAAACTTTCCATATTGTGTAATTTGATAGTAAACCCCTACTTTGTTATAGGAGCCTATATCCTTAATTGAAAAAATAATATTAATGTATGCAAGTGGCTTCCCTACCCGCTTGCTCATATACCCAGAAAAAAATATATAATATTCATGTTAATGCTGTAACTTGTCTTCCCTGTATATATTCACCATTCACTAGTCTAGCTTATAAAAAGCTTTGCCAGAAGACAGTTAGATTGACATTGCTCTGAGCATTTGTTCTATTTCTTCATCTGATCTTTCACGATTCTCCTCTTTAGCTATATGATAATAAAGCTCATATAATTCCTCTAGGCTGGCACACAAATCTTTGTCTGCATACCTACTTCGATAATTTTCTAGCCTTAAATTGTATGCCTCTTCGCTAGGGAACATCTTGATTGCAACTGTCTTAATATAGTCATTCGGATTCTTTTCAGCTCGTAATTTCTTTAGATATTCTCCATAATTTTTTGCAAGATTATCATATCTTTTCCCCTTTCGCAATGCAGTTTTTATGACTTTGATTTGCGCAAGTTCTATATCCTTATGATCAACCATGTCTGTATTGTTTCTACTATAACGATAGAAAAACTTTAATTAATAAAATTATATTCTTTGATAATTTTTTACCCGGAAAAAATATTTGTTATAAAGCATCTATTCCTTGACACGAAGTCTAACTTTCATAGCCCTTTCTTCTGCTTCCTTAGGAGCTATTTTGGATGCCACCAGGCGTTTATATAGTCCAATTCGCCAATGACCATATGGGAGAGTTCGAATTCCATCAAGTAAGATCCAGCGCTTGTTATCATATGGATTTAACCTTATTTTATTTACTCTCTCCAGATATATTTGATGATCATAACTTCGGAGACCATACATATCATGTCGGGTTAATTTCTTATTCCTTAGACATTCTAGTAATTTGTCATGTCGAATCTCCTTTTTTACCACGCATTTCTTAACACCCTTAGCCTTCTGGATGCCATGCTTTTTCTCCCAATACTTTACACCTTGAGATTTTCTAAATTCTTCCTCTTCTAACTCTTTCTCAAAATCTGCATCTGTTTCAGGAGTTTTAGGATCATGGCCTGCTGGAAGGACTGAATACATCTTTGGCTTTAAACATACTGATTCACCTATTGGATTCCCTTTTGTCTCATCCTTCATTAGAAATAAGTCTCCTGAATAGTTAAGATCGAAAATGTCTGGTCTTTCTGCTCGATCTTTATAGATATCCTCAGTTTCTATCCACATGATGAGCGAGTCTGTATCTGTATAAAGTAGACGGGCTTTATCTTCATAGCGAGGCTTTATGTAACCATACCAAAAGTTATACATCATGGCCTTGCTAATGTCGAGAATTGCCTGCCCCACATAAATTGGTTTATTTAGAGTTACTGTTCCTTTTAACATGTGGACTGCTGTGATGCCCCCTTCGAATGCTTTAAAGCCTACAAATAATGGTGAACTTGCTAGGCGCCTGATTTTTTTATCCTCTTCTGTTCGGAGTAGCTCTACTCTCATATGTTTACTGACATTCTCCATCTGTTTACCGAATACTGCATTATTTTTTAGCTTATAATACATTACCCCGAACTCATCTCCATTGGCTTTTGCTATTTTGCGTTTACGAATATTTTCCTCAATATATTCTTTCATCCATGTAGACTGCTGGAATTTGAGAGCGCCGTGGATCTTTGTAACCTTTACCCCAAATTTCATATATAGCTGGAGTGCACGATAATGGACCACGTAGTTCTTTTTGGGATAAAGGGTTTGGATGAGCTTTTCACCTGTTGTATATTTTCCACCCCCAACTGCTTTATCATGTACTAATCTTTCATTATATGGACTTAACCAGTTTTCAGGTACTATTTGCTTTTCTGGTGCCAGAGAGTAGTCTGCAAAGAAGTTATGTAAGTGCGCCGGAACTTCTAAGTCTACTTCAGGCATATAGCCTATTTCTGCATCAGGCGCAATAGTTTGAATATCTGGTACCTCTTCTGGACCTACCTTGCCTATGATCTCTGTTGGCATATATTGTGTCATTGCACCTGAATATAAAGCATTCATATCCTCATATAATATCCAAGTTGTAGGTTTACTAGAATCGTAATCTGGACATTTCAGATTATTAGCTTTGGCATATCGGTGACTTGCCATTGTCATACCGCCTCGAATACCTTTCTCAACCATCAGATACTCATCTATATCCGTCATAAGCTTGAGTTCAGCTCCACTACTCTTGTATAAAGAATCATTGAACATTCCAGGTGCTGAGACGTAATGAGAGGGGTCTAAACTATCATCTTGCAAACACATAATAGTATAATTCATGAACACATCGGCAAGTAACAGTACATCTGTCTCAAGATAAAGATCATGGTATTCTCTGAAACTTTTCATCTCAAATGTCTGCCATACTTTTTGAGCGTGTTCATAGTCCTCCTTACTGATATTTTGCTGACTGAGAAGCGAATAGAAATCCTTTCTAGGCGGGAGGCTTGTTCTGTCGAATTTTTCCCATGCATTTGTCCAGTCATATGGGAATACTCCTTTTCGGAAAAGAAGCTTGATCTTATCCATTGAGTAGCCTTTCTCTGTGAAATGCTTAACAGTTAGGGGAAACTTTTCTGGGTTTTCTCCTAGACATGCTACTAACTTATCTAAACCCATTGCCATATGCTGAAAACTATCAAGAAATCGGAGCTGTCCTACGTCCATTGCTTTATATTTGCCGATATTTTCAGGGATACAATTTAGCTTATCGGCCGTAAACTTGCTCACAACTTTCATAAGTGGATGAGAGTCATACCCCCAGAAATTATGACAGATTAGGGGCACTTTAGTTTCGAAAGAACCTATGCGCAACTTTTTATTACAAGAGTCATGAGCTGGGCCTCGGTAGTTTCCATTTATATGATCATGATCTTTTACTTTTCGATTAAGTGCACTTAAAGCTTCTTTGTATTCTTTCTGTATCTTTTTCTTTTCTGGATGATCTTCCTCCATGCTTGCTTCCCATTCATTAGCTTCTAATAATTTCTGCTTTGCTTCTTCGAATTTTTGCAATACTTCTTGTGATGGCTTGATAAAAGGTTTCTTGCAAATCCAGCATTCGGTTGCTTCTTTATATGCCTCCAGGTCACCTGGTGCCATGATCATTTCTGCAGGCGCTGATAAGTCCTCCTGTATATTTGCCAGCTCCTCCTCGATTTTTGTAACGAATCCTTCAAGTGCATCTGGGCCTCTGTATAAATCATGACTCATAACCTCATAATTAAGCGAACTGTCCATACGAACAACCACATAGCAATAGCCACATGGCCTATGCTTCTGTATTCTTTCAGTATGGGTTAGTTTTGTTTTTTCTTCTGGGGTTAGCTTTTCGGTTAACATTTCTAGATCCCAGAAAATACGATATGGATTTGGTTGCATGCATTTATGATTATAGAAAGCTTTGACACTCCTATTCTTCACCGGCATTTGCGGGCGCTGAGGGGCATTATTTAAACCCTTGCATTTTGGCAAATGTTCATTGTATCTTATCTCTGAAGAGTATACATGAAGACAATAACGGCAGAGGTATTTTCGCCCTTTATGTTTGCTATGATTGTATACTAGCTTATGTAAATCTTTGATAATACAGTAATGGCTTCTATCATCTTCTGTAATTACTAGAAGATTTATTTGCTTGTATTTATCTCCTCTTCTTTCTGTAACATAGCGAAAGTTAAGACATTTGTTTTGGTTGTGCCATTTATAGACACATAGACTGATTTCAGGGTTATTTCCTTCAAACTTTTCATAAACTGGTGTTGAGACTGGTACTGGAATTGGGATGTCTTCCATATTAAGTTCCTCCACGAAATTTCCATATAGCCGATTCGGATTTCTTTCTGGATGAACTTTAACTGGATGCAAAGCTCCTAGAACACTCCACCCAAAACACCAGTCATCATTATTTTGAATATTTATAATTCCATTATTATGTTTTGGCAAAGTTTCTGGCAAAGGTATATAGGCAGTAAGACCAATCGGATCGAAATCAGCTATCTCTATACTAAATTCTTCTATATATTCTGGGTAAGCATCAGACATTTGGTATATTAGTTAGCTCTAACCGTCGCGCTATTACTTGCTTATAAAATTTTTTCTTTAATTAATTATTTCCTATTCTTTTCAATTTCCGATCATATAGTTGTCACCTAAGGCGGTATTTGCAGGCTTGCCAAAATGGTTTTAGCTACCCTTCTTTCTTCGTATATCATTTACTTCGCGCTCACGGCCTGCTTATGCAGATTTGAGTTATGTTTTCTCACCCGCAGATCGATCAAGGGAAACTGAAGCATTAACTAATTATTAATTAATCTTTCGAAATTTAGTGATAAAAAATAGGATGATCGCTGAATATTCCTGCCCATTTCTCTGCAATACTGGAAAGGCTTGTAATAACCCTTGCATTCGCCCAGAAGGTTGCCGATTTCATAGAAAATCAAAAAAACGGATACCATGCTCTGACTGCGGGAAGCCTACCTCTTCTTCTTGTGGCCGATGCCCGTTACATATCAGAGGTTATTATGTTACCCAGTACTATGACAGATTGCGGACTAAAGCTTTAAACCTGGAATATACTAAGGGTATAATAGGAATGTAATGTATTCTCGTTAGATTTATTTAGATCATGATTTTTATGTGCTCTAGCTTGCCAGAATTATTTACTGATATGTGATTTTTTCGTTAGACTTATAAATTCCCCCAGCAGGGCGGAAACATTAGACAAATAAATAATGTATTAGATAAGGAGTTAGCCTGTACGAAGCCAATTCCTGATATATATTTTTTCGTTAGATTAATAAATTCCTGGCAAGGCGGACAGACTTATTTTTCAGAAGCTGATTTGCTATTCGGTTATCTAGACTCCACTGAACCTGTTCTCAGCTTTGGAAAAGTTGGGACAAAAATCTCGTTAGATTTATTTAGCAATTATGCTATTTAATGAGCTAGCTTGTATAGGAGGTATTCTTGTATATAGAAAAGTTCGTTAGATTTAAAAAGTCACATGATTTTTCGTTAGACTTATTTTCGTTAGACTTATTTATTAAATATGCTAATTGATGCGCTAGCCTGCATTAAACCCGTTCTTAATTAAGTAAATGTTTGGACAAAAATCTCGTTAGACTTATTTTTTTCGTCAGACTTATTAATAAATATGCTAATTGATGTGCTAGCCTGCATTAAACCCGTTCTTGATTGAGGAAAAGTTGGTACAAAAATCTCGTTAGACTTAAGAAAAAATGTTAGACTTATTTATGATGTAATAAGGACCGTTAGACTTTTTTTCGTTAGACTTATTTTTTCGTTAGACTTATTTATGGGGTAATAAGGACCGTTAGAGTTATTTTGGTTAGACTTAAGTAATTAATATGCAATTTAATGAGGAAAATCGCGCAGAATCAATTCCTGATATACATTATTTTGTTAGACTTAATAAATATAACCGAAAAAATGATATAGAAATTAAGATTCTAGAGCAGAAAGAAGCTCTTCTAATA